GTGTGTGACATCGGTACTGTTTTCACGTTCGCCCCATTGAATAACGCACCGTGAGCGGTCCACACATTGCACCGCATCAGCTCCTCAGTGAACGCGGTTTTAGCATTGATTCCGATAAATGGGCAGATTTTATTACCCATAAATAACTGCTAAGCTCATACACACCCTTAATCGTTAAAAATACCATTTTCGGGGTTCACTGGTGGAAAGTCGCGCGAGACGGTTTCCCCGTTGAAATACGCAGCACGCGCCTGTACAGGCGGATGCCTCTAGGGAACGCCATAATGGTGGATTTTTCAGTTGGTGTGACAACGGCCGCTCTGCTTCTAGAAATGAGTCGCATGTCGCAGTGTAAACCTCGTAAATTGACATTTTTGTACCAGGCCATGCTGCATTGTTTGTGTACTTGTTTGCCTTCCGGAAATACCAGCATTGTGGCGGTTTCGCAGGCATGTGAGACACCGGGCTGTTGTCACGTTCGCACCATTGAATAACGCACCGTGAGTGGTCCACACACTGCACCGCATCAGCTCCTCAGTGAACGCGGTTTTAGGTGATTCTGTGGCCCGTGCGGTGCAGTCCCCTCACATTAGAAAACCACACAATCGCCTCGCAGTGCGCCTCCCCAAATATCAGGCCTTTTCGGCGTTTCCATGCTGGTCCAAATTCAGTCGCCATCCCTCGTTTGTCTCAACGTGAAAAGACGAAACGCGATTGTGGAGCATTGATTCCGATAAATGGGCAGATTTTATTACCCATAAATAACTGCTAAGTCAGTACACCCTTAACCGTTAAAAATACAATTTTCGGGGTTCACTGGTGGAACGCCACATGAAGCGGTTCCCCCGTTGAAACACACAGCACACGCCTCTTACAGGCGAACGCCTCTGGGAACGCCGTAATGGAGGATTTTTCAGTTGGTGTGGCGCTGTGCTCACTACGTATTTTTTTGTCAATTTCTTACACAAACGTGAACGTGGTGCTGCTGAAAATCACCCTGATAATGCAATTTATTAATCACAAATCTGGGAGGAAACTTCGGGAACAGACTATTAAAGAGTTTATTTACTAAAATCTACCATGTTAATCTCATTTTTCGAATATTTTGACCCCAATAACGCTATTTTGGCTCGTCACAAAGATGATTCCGACATCTGAATTGGCCGCTCTGCAGAAATGAGTCGCATGTCGCAATGTGAGCCTCGAAATGGGCATTTTCGCACCAGACCCACGCTGCATTGTTTGTGTATTTTTGCCTTCCACAAATATCAGCATTGTGGCGGTTTCACGGGCATGGGAACACCGCAATGTTGCCACGTTCGCCCCATTGAATAACGCACGTGCGCGGTCCAAACGTTGCACCGCATCAACCCCTCAGCGAACGCGGTTTGAGGTCATTTTGTGGCCCATGCGGTGTTGTCCCCTCACATTAGAAAACCGCACGGTCGACTCGCAGTGCGCCTCACCGAATATCAGACCATATTGCTGTTTCCACGTGCAACGAATAAGCACCGCTTCGCCAGCTGACTGCTACAGCCGCCGCGGCCGGCCGTTCATGGCCACGCTCGGCTGATTACACTGGGCTCAAGTTCCGTATACATCCCCGTATATGGAAAGAATGCTGCAACATGACGCCACTTATTTCTTCATCGTATTGCAAAAAATGTTGAAAAAGCATTGAATCTAGAAACCTTTTTAAGAACACAACCGCTGAAGTGGCATCCGGATACTACATTTTTTACCAACGTATTTGCACATGATGCATTACCTACGGGGTAAATGCTAGCGGGTGCATTTACCACACGGGAAAGACCATATCTGGTCTGCTGGTCATCACCGTAATTTTCCCTTCAGTGACCCACCAGCCACCAGAAAGTGATAATAATGTCCTAAAAAGGCAACGTTAGCAGGGATAGTATTCACTGTGAAACACTGAAATACAGGGCGACAAGATGGCCAGATATGGGAATCTTTCCAACTATACCGCTACCTGGAGAGGTTTTACACAACAACCAATTGAACAGAACGGGTTGAATACATTACGTATGTAGTGTGCATTATGTATGTTTTTTTCTATACGACAAAGTGAACACAATACATGCACAAAAATAAATGGAATGTGATCATGTTGCAAATCATTTCACTACCTTTGCAAGAAGCGTCCGTTCACGGCCGAGCATCGCTGAGCTGAGTGACAGTTGGTTCAGATGGCTCAACTTGTGTCATGGAGACAAAATCTTGGAATCCGTTTAGCAAGAAACAGCGCTGAGTTTTGACACTGCAATAGATTCGTTGGAATGTTTTCACTAAGGAAATAAAACGCCGAAATGAAGTGCGACAGAGAACGTGTGAATCCCTCCGTAACCGCTGCACGTTCCTAATCTTAACTGCATGTGCATGGGTTCGTGGGACCATGCCAGAGCTTGGGGTGGGGTTAAGACATGAATGACAATGGTGCAATTTGCATATGGAAAGTGCTGATTTATTCAGTTCCCACCCTTTCATTGTAATTAAAATCAGACGGAGTCTTCAGGCTCTTCGTTAACCCGACTCATTCTGTGTCGTTACTGCACATCTTTTTGTTGTAGAAAAGAACATGAATAGATGATTTTGTTTTAAATAATAGGCTTTATTCCCGCTTAACAGGCTTACTCAGTCTTTCAATTATATGGCTTAGATTTAATCGTTATTCGTAAAAGACCTGTTTTATAAGACTGCACGTGTACGTACTTTTGAGGACTTGACTACGGATCTCAGGAGGTGCAGGCCAACGAATTCGTGTTACACGAGTCATAACGTGATTGTGCCATGTAATTTCTGGAAGTAGTGTTTTGAGAGGAGAAAAAAAATCAGGTTTGTGACCCCAGTGACCTCATAATGACCTTTGACCCCGGTTTGGTCCAATTTTCACTTTTTGAAAATATGTTTGGCTGAAAATTGTCAAAAATATGTAGGAGCAATAGACAATGTCAATGCTTGTTTAACGGACATGATAATTTGTTGAACTGCTATCCCGCAGCTAAATTAATCCCCTAAAATAACTTAAACTAGTCTAGTTGTACTTCATGACTTCCCGTCATAAATCCTTCTTAGCTCCCGTTTCTCAAAATCTTTCTCCGCATCTTTCTCTCTGTCGCTCACTCCATCTCGCTTAGAATTTGGCGCAGCCTCCTTTCCCTTCACCCCCGTACCCCAGAGGCAATTTCATAGATTTCGGATAAAAAATCGTAAAGACCAGGGCAAGACCGAGCGGACAGGAAAAAGTTTTGTTTTACATCCAAGTATAGGCCTAGTCAATTACCATAAGGTAAAAAAAAAAACCATAGTTCTACTTCCGGTTTCCCTACCTACCCTATTCTGACAGCCCCTACCCTAATTTTTTTATGGGAAAAATGAGAAAAAACACCCAAAACCATCAATTGCTCCCTTTTACCCTTGACTACAAGCAGACGCCTCCGTATGATCGTACACACAAAAAATTGGCCAAAAAAAAAAATTCCCACCCCCTACCCTATTTTCGAATGCCATGTATAAATCGGAAGAACTATTTTTTTTTGCCTAAATGCACCTGCGTCAGTTGGTTACGCAATGGGTTTAGGGCTCAATTTGCCATTTAAAAAAATTCTCCATAGCCAGGAATCAACCGGGAAAAATGCCATGAATATCAAAGCCTAGCTTATGGTCTGGCCACCTCTTCAGAATGTCTGACGATAGGCTTCCCAAAAAGTTATTCTATTCAGAACCCTCCCCCCCCCCCAACAACAACAAAACTGAAACACCAGAGACAAAAATACATCATTATTTGTTACTGGGAAAGCGGTTGTGCAATATTTTTACCAAAACGGGAGGAGGACACGCCCTTGTTTCACTGGACACGCCCACTTCCACACCCTCACTCACATTTTGCTCCATTTCATTCTCTTTCGAAACAATACATCCATCTACATTTGCAACACAAACGTTCAAATTCCTTACTTTTTTTTGCATTCACAAGATGTAAAATATAAATGCAGGATTGATATTATATAAGTCTAGTACTGGGGGAAAACTGACTTTATAAACACTGCGATGTAAATCTTTAAACAACCGACTAGTTCATTTTGACTGTTCGGTTTTTATCATTGATTTTTTTTCTTCAGGTCATTTTCGAGAGCATTAATTTCTCCAAAATCAAACAGTTTCCCATTCTAAAATTTGCATAAACACTCTTTCCATATTCCTGACATTTGACAATGTAATTCCGTTATGCAAAAACCTCTTTTAGATAAATATACAATACTTTATACAACTTTACTTTCCTCGTGTACATGAATATATTTCTGCATAATAAATTCCAATAGGCCCCCCCTACTTAAATACATGTTATACTTATGGCTATAACAATTATAATATAGGATAATTATATACAACTATTTTACACCTATAATTTCTATCCTAACACTATCACTTAACCGCAATGCTCAATTTTTGGTCACTTTTCGCCATTAAGTTACTCGCACAATTTACATAAATATTTAGATATAGGTATTTATAGGTTGTATTTAAAATATCTCCTTACATTATACAGTGTGGATTAAAAAAACACGAAACCGAGATATTATTGCTAATTGGAACAGAAGTAGGGCACATGTGAATCAAAAGGAGATATATTCTGTTAGGGTTGAATCTCCTCTTAATGACAGCCTGATCATGTGATTACATTCACGGTTGACGGAGCAGTGACCAATTTTATGAAATGGTCCATTTGAGAGAGTTGCGCCACTTTTCAATCGTGGATATTGTGGTGTCATTTGTCACAGAGTGAAAGGCTATTGTTGCCAATCAAGGCAGGTGGGGAGATTTCACCATGAAAACTGGCGCAATTCTCTAAAAAGACCCTTTCATAAAATTGGTCACTGCTCAGTCAACCGTGAATGTAAGGACATGATCAGGGTGTCATTTTAAAAGGGAAAATTCAACCCTAACAGAGGATATCTCCCTTCGATTTACATGTGCCCTACTTCTGTTCCAATTAGCAACAATATCTCGGTTTCGGGTTTTTTTTTATCCACCCTTCAGAGTGCAGTATCTTTACATTGCAAATGCATCTAATGACATTGTGTGTGCCCATTAAAACCTAATAAAAGTGCATTTGCATCTAAACAATACTCGATAAAATACAACCGGTTTTTAGTGAATACCTTGTAAAAGTGGCAATCTCGCAAACACTCTTACAAATTTCAAGACACACTCAGTAAAACCCATCAACTTGTGCTTGAGTACCCCCTCAACGGTTGCAAAGAGAGAGAGAGAGAGTAGTTTTGGGGGGGACCACCGTACTGGGAGGGACTCTTGTACCATTGGCAACATCAGTGCTTGACGCTCAGTAAAGGCCTTCACGCATAGGCGCTCACGCAAAGACGCTCACGCACAGGCGCTCACTCAAAGACGCTCACGCAAAGACACTCTCGCAAAGACGCTCACGCAAAGACGTTCACAATAAGAAGCTTACGCAAAGAAGCTTAAGCAAATGCGCTCACGCAAAGAGGCTCACGCAAAGACGCTCACGCAAAGACACTCTCGCAAAGACGCTCACGCAAAGACGTTCACAATAAGAAGCTTACGCAAAGAAGCTTAAGCAAATGCGCTCACGCAAAGAGGCTCACGCAAAGAGGCTCACGCAAAGAGACTCACGCTAAGAGACTCACGCAAAGAGGCTCACAGAAAGTCGTTCACGCAAAATCGCTCACGCAAAGATGGCATTGGTTTGTGCACATTCAGAAAGATACATACGGGCTCCACGTGCAGACGTACCCCCTCCACGGTAAGGAAGGGAGAGTTGGGGAGACCACTTGGAGTGACATTGGAACACATTGCTGACGAGGCCTGATGCCCATGCCAGGACGCTATGGCTATATGTGCACATTCGGAATAAAATACCGGGCCGCAAGAGTGGGAACTTCGCGCCATACATGCGCGAACTGCACACGCGCGCGGTGTGTCACATCCTCGGGCTCTCGCAAGTGGTAAAATAAGTGCCCTCTCTTGTTCATGCACGGAGCCCTATGTCGCATTGTACGGAAATGTCTGCGTGCATGTGTCCCTCCCCTGAGATCTCAAAAGTGGTAAAAAAGCGGCATCTACAGTTCAAATTTGAAGTAAATCTAATTTCCCATTTTCCCCGTTCACACGTTCCCAGTATGCATGCCAGCCTCGGCCTCCTTCCCCGACTCCGCCCCCTGGGTGGGGGAGTGGTGGTCCTGTAGAAGGTTAAGCTCTTCGCTTCGTGTCTGCGCCGTCGCCGGTTCGTCTGGTTCCGTGTCCGATTGGGAGATGATGGTGTTCAGTTTGATGGCGTTCTTGTTCGCGTCCGCTTTGGGGAGGCGGATGCCCTTCTGCCATCCTTTGCGGCCGTTGCACATCCGGCCCTGCCGATCTGCAAAATGGCCAATTGAATCAAAGAAGCGAATAACAAAAATGATCAATTGACCAGCTGCTTACAGTAATCTCGATGGTCGAATGGTAAGACGTAGGAGGTCGTGGGTTCGAGTCCCATTTTGTTATAATCAACTGACATACCTCCGTGGTTGACCTGTTTCATGTCCGTGGTCACTGTGGACAGCGAGAGGTTGAGAGATGTACGGGCCCTGCTCATGACTCGCCGCACGTAGGGCGCTGTCAGAAGGGTGTACAGCATGGGATTGATGGCCGAGTTGACTGGAAGAACGAAGACGGCTACCCAAGCGTATACCTAGGACAATGTCAGAAATTGTCAATCAAACTAGAGATCATTATTTTAGGTGTGGCGTGGTATAGAGCACTGGGCTCAGTATCTTGTTGGTAATTCTGCAGGTTGTGGGTTCGAGTCCAGCCTGGGGTTGTGGTGCGTGTGCCCTTGGGCAAGGCACTTTGTCACTCATTGCTTCTCCCCACCCAGGAGTAAATGGGTACCTGTGAGCGCAGAGGTATTGTGGTTGATTTTAGCTGCTTTGCACCGAAATGGCAGCATTGAGCTGTATACTCCCCAGGGAGCTGAGATTGTCTTTGGAATGTTTCATTGGCCCAAAGAGCTGTATCGCATCTTGAGCACAGAAACTGGTGGATGTGAACTTTATAATTACCTTATTGTAATATTAATGTGTTTGATTGATGAAAATCGACTTTGCAGGTTTTGGCTGTAAGACCAAAGCCTTGATCTGATTGGTCAGTGCGCACTGACTTTGATTGACACTTTGACAGGCAGGAAGGCCTAGGCTCCGTTACCTGCGGAGGTATTTTGGCCCCGCCCAACGAAGCCACGCCCAGTAGGATGATTGGCACCCAGCAGACAAAGTCCGTCATGACAATCAGCGTCATCCGTCTGGCCATGGCGTCACCGGTGTTGGTGTCTCTGGACCTGGAGAGAATAGCAAAAAGTCATCCACTTGCTGCTGGATTCGAACCAGCAACCATAAACAAGAAGTCAAGAACATATCGACACTGAGCAAACTGGGTAAATAATTCACAATCTTGACGAACCATTGGGGCGCTGTTCAAATCCAACTATCATTAACACTATATTACAGAATAGTATACAAATACCCCCGTAAACCGAGCTGGCTCTGTCCGTATTTTGTGCACAGGCGTATAATTGTTACCACTTTATTAATTTTTTTTTTGGGGGGGGTATCAGAGCAGGGGTTGGAAAAAATGTTGCAACCTGACGCCACTTTTTTCTTCATACATGTATATCATCTCAATGAAGGTCATTCATTGCAAAAATGATGACAAGACATGAATCTGGGACTGAGAAACATTTCCAATTTTGTTAGGAAATACTTAGAACATATTTTTGACTCCCCATAGAGTTTATACACAATCGCGGACGTGGCGTCAGGTTGCAACATTTTTTCCCAGGTTTTTTTCACACTTTTTCTAAGGAATTTCTATGAAAACAAAAAGAAAAATTGAGACAGAGCTGGGGGGGGGGGCGATAAAGTTTGACCAATTTGAACATTCAAAATTTTTTAAAGAAGTGGGAACATTAAATACGTTGGGGAAATTTAACGTGAGCAGGTTAGCAATTTTTCGTAGCGAAACAAACTTTTAAAACTTCTGATAATATCAACTGATAAACTGAAACAAAAACTGAAATAAAAAAAAATAGATATTACGTTTAAAACAATGATTAGAAGCGAACTAAGGTTCAGCATAATTTAAAACTTCTAATAATGTCAACAGATAAACTGAAACAAAAATTGAAAATAAAACGAAGAGATGTTACGTTTAAACCAATGATTAGAAACGAACTATGGTAGTATCTCGCTTAAGGGACACAGGTCCCAAATCACCTGTTGACAGCCTTCTGCGTACGCCGAGCCACCACGAACATGACGGAGTAGGAGACAGCGATGGTAAGGAACGAGATGAAGTTGAGAGCTAGGAAGATGAAGACAGAGTACTCCCAGCCCTTGGGCAGGTCGGGGGTGATGTGGAGGGCTAGACATACCCCCGACCGGCCGTAGAAGTTGCCGAAGTAAGACAGGCCGAAGAGAGGAAACGCAGACAGGAAGATGACCTGAAAACAAATACAATCACGAGTACATCACAGGACCGCTCAGGTAAATCAAAAGTCAGTAAAGAATTTAGTCCAGGCTCATGTAACAGGGGATGAACAATGACTTTGGTTTGTGTAAGTTATTGGAATAGCTTGGGAATTGGCTCGGCAGTCGATGACTTGTGATGGACTTGTGATCCATGAAAGAAAGATGTAAACAATGTTCACTCAACATGAACAGTTCGAGAAATGTCACTCACGAATAAACTTCCATACCTCCACTTCAACTCTTGCTTTTTTTTTATTTGGCTGACCAAAATAAATTCACTGCAGGTCGTCTTCCCCCTTCAAACTCTATGTGTTCTGGGTTCGAATCCAAACTAGGCGAATACGTGGATTGGGTTTCAGTCCCTGCCTAGAATAAACTGTACCATTTCCGAGTTTTCCTCCAAAACTAAATTTGCTCCATAATTGCCTTCTCTCTTAAGGTTTCTTAAGCCTTCCAAGCTATTTTACCTCCACGCACTTAGGTCCCTTAACATGTGTCATCACAAGAGAGAATGAAATAAGAATTGTGCTCCCCTAACTGACCTATCCGGCCGAATGTTAGAAGTCTTTTTTTTCTTCTTCAATTTTTGTTATTGTTCAAAGGATGATATTGAGTAGGCCTATACCCATGAAAACAATAGTTGAGGGAACTTTAAGAAAGAGGGGAAGGGGCACAGTTGCTCACAAAATGATATTTATCATTCTTAGCATAAAATACTGTTTTTGTTCGCTAAATGGTCATTTGTTTGAAACTGTCTTTCTTTCTTCCTTTTAAGTGCAGACTTCATGGCTGAAGATAAACGTACTGCCAGAAACACCGGGGCGAACCCCTTCTCTTAGCGATAAGTGTTACCTGGGTACTTTTACGTTGCAATACAACACACGGGACCTACGGCTTTACCTCACATCCAAGGGACGAAGCAATAATGGTTAAGTGCCTTGCTTAGGGGTACAAGTGTCCACCCGGTGGGCTCGAACCCACGCCACAGTTGCCTCTGAAACACCAGTGCATGAGTCCAGTGCTCTTAACCGCTAGGCTATGACACGCCTATCGGCTAAATAATCACAATTAACAGCGCCACATACCCAGTATTGGATGGTGTCCAATCGGATGCCCCTCCCTAAAACCTCCTGTGCTTGAAAAAATGAACTTACCATCAGCCAGGTAACGACCATGACGCGCACGGCCCCGCTGTACTCCATGTCCTTGATCCGGAACGGAAAGAGAATCGACAACAACCGATGCAGGGTGATGATGGTCAGACTGAACACGGACAACTCGCTGGAGAACGTGGACAGGAACCCGGCGAAGCGGCAGAGAGCCGAGTCGCGCCACTGGGCGTCATAGATGATGTAGTAGCCGCGGTAGAAGGCGTCGACTGAGGCGATGATCAAGAGGTAGACGCCCATGCAGAAGTCGCCGATGGCCAGGTTGGTGATTAGGAACGAGTGCACCTGTAGGAGAGGATATAAATAATGAATGTTTATGAGTGCAATGGTAAGAATAATTTCATTCGGAACATCATCAGTTACCGAATGATATTATTCTTACGCTGAATCAATCCTCGATCGTCGTCCGATTGGTGAAGCCCAGTTTCCATAAGAAACGCAGAGAGCAACGCAAACAAGACCCAACCTGCAACGCAGACATAATGGAGACATTTCATCCGCAAATGTCACCGATAACCCAGACAGACGCAATTAATCTATCTCGCAGACGGTCGGCAAAGTTGAACGCGGTTCAACATTGCCCACGGTTCCGCATACTGTCTGCGCAGACTCCATAAGCTAAATGTCGATATGGAAACCAAGCTTTAATCACGTGACCGTGCAATGGAACTTGGAACAATGTTTTTGCAGTGCAGGCTGTGCAGCCAAGCCGTGGGTTGGGGCGAATAATTTCATGACACGTGATCGGCAACCCACCAATCAGATGACGGGGATTTATTCAGGCGTTGTAAAAACACAATAAAGAACAGGGTTTTTTTTTTTTTTTTTTTTTTTTTAGATTTGGGACGTCAATGACGCTGTAGGGGCGGAACATTGATGTACGACGTGTCAAAAAACCCCGAATGGGCTACTTTTGATCCTGAATAACTCTGTTGTTAATCAATGGAATTAAACACAGATCATGTAACAGCCACTTTCGACTTGGCGTCCTCCAATGTCGATACAGCGCTGGAGACGGTGGCGGAAGGCGCGTGCTGCCGCTGAAAGCTTCTGATGGAATGCAGGATCACCCCTGATGTCATTGCACACCTCCTATATCGCTTGGTGCAACACACGATCAAGGATGTGTGCAATGACATCAGGGGTGATCCTGCATTCCTTCAGAAGCTTCCGCCACCGTCTCCAGCGCTGTAGCGACATTGGAGGACGCCAAGTCGGAAGCGGCAGATTCTGAAAATGAGTAATATTTTTCGTATGGCGCTTAAGTCTCATCCTCTTGCACAAAGCTCATACCTTGTTCACATGATCTGAAATGTTGGTTTAATTCCATTGGTAAACAATAGAGTTGTTCAGGATCAAACGTAGGACATGTGTTTTTTGACAAGACGTAGTATTTCCTCCCCAATGTTTCCCCTTCCCAGTTCGTCCCCAAACGTTGTTCACATATTAAACATTTTCCCCTGCTTATCTTCTTGGAAGTTTAGACTATAGACGTCCAAACTTTAAAGCAGTGTTATAGTCGATCGAAATGTCGAGTCTATCAAGAGGCAAGTCAAGAGTAAAACCACAAGCCACAAGACTGGTCACAAGTAAAACAGGAGATGAACAATAACAAAGGACTGTTTTTTTTGTCGCAGTTCGTTTGACTAGCTTGCAACTTGGCTTGGGACTGGATGACTTGTGATGGACCTGTGAGGACTTGCGGAGACTCAGACTTGGCAGGACTTGTGACGGATTTTGCGCACATAGTTGGCACATAACTTTATGAACGTTTTAGTTATAGCCTTCGAGTCATTGTGTGATTACTGTAGTTGTACAGGGCCAGTCCAAAAAAGCAGAACCCAAACCCCCAAAACTATATTTCATATTTAAAATAAAAATGTAGCACCAAATATAATAATGACTGGAAAGCCAATTTCATAAGGTACTTTTAGATAAAAAAAGGACTGAAATTGGTCAATCCATTCAGAAAATTTCACCATTTAAACACAATGACCTTAAAACCTGTCCCGTCCATAAAATGCAATTTCGTCGCAATTGTCTTCAAACATCATGCAACAGCGATAAAAAAAATCTGTTTAGACGTGAAAAATATTCAACAGAATCCATTTGAAGGCCCGTCCTTTAAAAAAGGTAGATTTTATGAATCAGATTGTTTGCCTAACCAGGGTTGTTAATAAAGATATTGTGTACTACAGTTGGTGACAATTGTTGAAACAAGTATTCTGTGTCATTTTCTGTTCCAAACAGTCAAAACACACAATGACTTGCTTTTTTGGACGAGACAGGTTTTAGGGTGATTGTGTTTAAATGGTGATATTCTTTGAACAGATTGAGCAATTTCAGTACTTGTTTCATCTAAAAGTAGATTTTGAAATTGGCTTTCCAGTCGTCATTATTTTTGGTGCTACATATTTTTTTAAAATATGATATATATTTTATGGGGTTTGGGTTCCGTTTATTTTTTTTTACTTAACCTGTAGTATAACGTGCGCTCAGCGTTTGAAAAATTGACTGTCTCCTACATTCCTGTCTAATCGCTCAGGCTCACTTGGCCCAAAGTTATCCAGTCTTGCGCCACCACTGACTTTGAGGAAAAAGTTTGACAGACAGACTTCGGATAGAAGACGTAATGCAAATGGTACAGGGGATGGTGTAAATGCATTTCCTGAATTCTGAGGACAAGGTTTCATGCATGAAGCGTTTTTTAAAGGGCCCATGTAATGTAATTTTGTTTAATCCGATCCGTGGAAATGCACCTTTGTATCCTATTTAACATTATTTTCAATTTTCATTTGGCCATTTTTTTTTAGAGCATTTCAGTGCCTTTTTGTTTTAATGCTAATACGAATTTGCATATTCATATGCTAAAGTGTGATGTCATTTCGGGCAAAAATCTCAATGTTACAGCTATTATAGCCTCAATATTTGCCACAATTTACGATATTTTGCTATCGTAAATTGTCTTTTCTTTGGCGATTTTCAATGAGCAACTTTTGGGTTGACAATTTCAACAGAAAACCCCTAATCTAAAGAATGTCTTCCTGAAATGACATCACAGCAACAGCGCCCTCATTAGTCAAGCAAAGCATGGACAATTTGAAATGTTAAAAAGTGCACGTTTCAATAAAATTAACCAAAAAGGAATATCAAATAGTTTTCATACATTTAAGAGTATAAAGTTGCACAAAATGTGAGCCAAAGTAAAATTCATGTCATGGACCCTTTAAGGGAAAGAGTTTTCCGATGAATTCAAAGTCCCTCAATCTACTGAGATCTCATTCAGTTCAATTGTTGTACAATTCTTCTAAACAAACTTTACCAAGCAGGTCTACTAGCGATGTGATTTCAATGTCTATGGTTTTTCATAACAAATGCAACATATCACTTGTATAAACTTAATACATGCGAACATATCAACACATCTACAAAACTGGTACCTAATTTTGGTGGTGGATCGATCCGATCGAACTACTTTTTAAGCATCTTTAAGGAACTTAGATTGTTTTTTGAGGGGGGAATATTTACCCAAGTCAGCCCCTCAGCTACAGGGAACTGATCACCCAGAGGGGTCTGCCGAACAAGAAACTACAAAAAACACAGACAGAGAAAGCACCCAAATCAAAATAAAACAATTTACATCACACCAGAAAAGAATGTTGAAAACAGAATACATCAAAATGTGTAGTCTTCTGGGCAGACCTGCGCACACTTTTCAAGAATTGTCTTGTATCTTCGATTGCTTTTCAAACTGTTTTATAGTAATCTGTCACTCATGCTTTCCAGGGGAAAAAAACAAATTGCGGCCTCATCATCATTACGGATGTTGTTCATTACAGCCTTACTAAGAACAGTAATGTTTAGGGTCGCCAAGTATTTTATTTTGCTGGTTAGGAGAGAACTTGTATATACAAGTTCATGTTTGGGCGTCGGTGTAACATCAGCCACGGTCAAATTACTAAGGGAATAAATGTGTTCTTGGCCGTTTTTAAACACAATGTTTAAGAGCAGTTTGAGTTTGGATGCTGATAATTGCCAGAGCGGAAGGCGAGGGTAATCATCGGCATCCAGACTCCAACCGGTCTTAAACATAGCGTTTAATACCGGTCAAGTACATAATTTATTCCCTTTCATAAATACATTTTTGGTGAAAAACAAAATCAATTTTTGTTCGGTCAAGAAGTCAGAACAAGTCAATAGTTATAAATTTCCCACGATTTTGTTCAACAATTTTACTTCATGTTTTTTCGGGACACCCCTCTAGCTATATTAGGGTACGTCCAGTCTCGCCAGTCATGGTAAACAACTCCTTATATAGAGATTGGCGCGTGCATCGCGCAGAACTCAGCTGTGCCGGTGTATTCTGAATTAAGGACTTTTAATACATACTCACTGGTAGTATTGCGCATGCCTACGTGAGGATTGTGAACGTTCAACCAATGAAACGGTAAAATGCACCGGATTTCATAGGATTCCAAATTGTATGTGACACTAAAAAAGTGTTTCAGACCAGCCAGCCGGTCTTTATCAACCTTGTAGAACTGGCCACGCGTGACGGGCTCTCAACCAATAGGAATATCAATAAATTGCTGTTTAAAGCTTGAGCTGTAAAAAGGTTGAAGGTGCTCAGAAAAAAATAGCAAACAGAGATACAACTAAACCATCAAAAACAAATAATTTACATGTACCAACAAAAAAATAACATAAAGTCAACTGGCTCAATTTCATGGCTCTGTCAACATCCTCTGTGCTTGTGGTCACATCGCCAGAAAAAATGGGACCTTTTCACACACGCTCGGGCCGACTCACTCGATTATCCCGCTTGTTATTCATCCGCATCATAATGACAGCCAGGTTGCCGATGGACGCGATGATGCCGATCACCCAAATAGATCCGCGGAGGAACACGTTGGCCATGAGGTCCTCGCAGGACGAGAACTCATCCGGCGGGGGAGTGCAGGTCTCAACCGACACCATTTCTCGCACCATGCAGCAGAAACGGAATTCATCCGTATGGCTGCATTTTCGAAAGCACAAGACAGAAAATTGCACACACGCCGTTATTGTTGACCTATTGAACGAATGATTAGTGTTGCTCAGAATTGAAGTTTATGGTGAAGTCAGCAACGAGAGTAAGTTTGCAGTTGCATCCACTGATCTCTACAAAAGAGCAACATGAAAAAGTTTGCGGTTGCATCCACTGAACTCCTGTGGGAATGCAAAGCAAATTTAATATCAAAACATTCAAATTTCATGGCATCATTTTCACTTACAGAACGCGTAGCTTCGGAAGCCCGTAGAACGCCTCGGCGTGTATTTGCGACAGCTTATTGTTGGAAATGTCTCTGCAAGCAAAAAAAGATGAAAGAAAGAAATGAACAAAGTGGAAATAAACAAACGACTTTGAGGTATCTTTTTCAGTTGATGTAATGGATGAAAGTTGAGGCTGATTGTTTTTTTGAAGTACACGTAGTGCTAAAAAATCCTTACGGAAATTGGCGAGCGCGGTGCGTACCGATCGATGTGGCGCAGAACGCAGCGGTGTTTTTTGGGGGTTTGCAACCACCCACGTAATGGGCTCTCGATTAATAGGGATGGGTAAAATGTCTAAGGTATTTATGAATAATTATTACAAATACAAAATGTAGTTTAATGACAGTTTAATAGATTAATTTGAATACTTACAGTTCTTTTAGCTCATTGAGTCCAAAAAACGTGCCCCTTGGTATGTCAGTCATTCTATTGTGGGACAAGTTTCTGGTAAAAATAAAATTAAAGACAAGTGACAGGCCCACTTCCTTCCAAGATCATGTGTAAAAATTACATTGTAAGCAGCAATAAGGGCCAACTTTTATGGAGCTATATTAAGCAGAAAATATAGCTTGGCCAATTTATGTGCTAAGCAAAAATAAGCTGTACGTGAACCAGTGACCCGCAATGGACATCACATGAGGGTTTCGCTGGTAACCTGTTTTTGCTAAGCAAATATTTTCTGTGCTTAGCAAATTTCTGTGCTGAGCAAAAATCAGCGGAGCACCAGTCACAAGTCATGTACACATCAAATGACATTTTGGCTGGTAACCTGTTTTTGCTAAGCAAATATTGTCTGTGCTTAGCAAAATTCTGTGCTAAGCAAAAGTCAGCGGAGTACCAGTCACAAGCCATGTGCACATCAAATGACTTTTTGGATGGTAAACTATTTTGCTTATGAAGTATTTTCTATGCTTAGCAAATACACATTGCGAGACGTTGGTAACCTTTCACTGCTAAGCAATTGTTCTTTTGCACTTGGCAGATGAAGTAAGCAGTACCATTTAATGGGCCTCAGTTTTAAATCACTTACAAAAAAGCCAGCTTGTTGAGACCATCGAACGCTCCTTTGTTGATAGACTGTATCTTTTGTTGGCTCAGATCCCTAGAGGGGAACAAATGTCAAAAATGAAACAATTAAAATCACATCATGCATGGCGTCCGTACAGGTGAGTTATAGAATGTCTAAGTAGGCCTTATGAATTTTGCGAATTAACCGACAACTCACAGCGTGGTTAGCTCTCCAAGTCCTAAAAAGGCCTGCCCCGCTACTGTCTGCATTGCGTTACCTCTCAAAATTCTGCAAGAAATAGAGTACCAAATAGCACAATGATGTTACAATTTTTTAAAAACATACGGTAACTTACAGACATTAAAGACGTAACATTCAACAAAGAGTGTACATGGGTTTTCGTTTTTAAATTAAAAATGGCAATGCAACTTGGTGCTGTAATACTTTTGTCGCCTAACATCACGTTTGGTAGCCCTGAAGGTTTGATTCCCATCCGATGCGGTGTAAGGATTGGGTTTTGATTACGAGGGAATTCCTTAACTTAAAAAACGCAACTAGTACTTGTTTGAAATTTTTGTCTCAGAAACATTGTTTGAATATGAGAACTTATTAAGCTCTCCTAAGCGTGTTTGGCTTCATTGTAGGCTTACTCACTAGATTATAAGGCAATTTCAGGGCAACTTTAAGGCAAAACATTACTGTGTACTGTGAGCGTGAGACCACACAGACCCCCCTGGAAAGAGCACAGCATATTTTTCCCCACAATTTATGGTAATTCCTCAAAACATTATATAAAATTTAAAAAAAACCTGGCGTTTAATTTTCGTCTCGGATGTTGTTTTCCGTTAATTTCCTCTAGTGGCAAGACCCTTGTACATGTACAATTACATTGGCTTGAATATTTATGACCAAAAAAATCACACCGTGAAACCACATGGAGAATTTTATCACCACACTGGTTCTAGGTCAATAACCCCGATCATGGGTAAGATATAGGCAGGTCACATGGCCTTTATGTGGGCCAGGATTGTTAACGACCTGTCTGAGCTCTGGGCGGCACGAGGGGTTGACACAGCTAGAGAGATCGGCGGCACAAAGGGGTTGGCCACTAAGATATTCAATTACTGCACAAGGGCATTAGGCGCCTCTTGGGGCTGCTGTCGTTCAACACTCCTTACTCTGCAGTGGTTAGGGTCTGGCCAATGGGAGTGTACAGGCTTTTCGTGTATATTAGGGGTGAGGATTACATTGAATCTTGGCCTTATTGGCCCATTGAAAAAAAAGTTATGACCATATTTGGAAAATGTAGAGAATTTTATCACCACGTGGCTTCTCCGAGGGTAACAGCATTTTTAGATTCAAAATAACCAATAAAAGGTACGTAACAATATTTGTTTAGTTATCTATACTCACAGTGTTCGCAGATGTTGTAAGCTAGAGAATGTCTGGTTGCCTAGTTTGGTGATTTTATTGTCGGCTAAGATTCTAAAACCGTGAAAGATAAAGAAAAAGAAGAAGAAATTTTGATCAATAATCAAACTAACAATTTCTATGCCATTTGAAAAGAATAAAGTGGTTTTTTGATCTAATTTTCGATGCACACTTACAGTGTTTGCAGGTTTGGTACATTCAACAAGGCCGCTTTGTTTATGAACGTGACGCCGTTATCTGAAAGATCCCTGTAATAGGTGGAATTGAAAAAAAAAGTTTTAATATTTCGAAACAGTTCAAAGTTTGCACACTTTAAAACCTTATGCTTAACGCTTGAACGCATGTGATAAACGCTTTTTGAAACGGTTTATAAATATTTAAAACACGTTTTAAATGAGTCAGAAACTTCGCTCACAGAAGGATCGTTCGTGTGAGTCCTTCCAGAGCGGTCGGGTCTTGCAGGAGATGGTGGAGATTATTTCCAGGCAAAGAACTGCAAAGAGAAAAACAAATACAGGGCGAGTCAAAAAAAGCGAAACCCAAATGTCGTGACCATTGTTTTAGTGAAGTTCTGCATGTAGCCCTTTCAAAATCTAGGACACAAAAGCCCAATTCATAAGCTTTCATTTACTACAAGAATCATTCAAATCACTCATGTACTTTTCAAGTTACGGAATTTTAAACACAACCACCGTTTTAAAGTTCTGTCCACGGACACAAGAAAGTAAGTGTTCTTTAAGCAAAACGATAACAAACCACATAGCTGCGTGTGAATTGTTTTCGTTTTGCTGAAAGAACGCACACCTCTTTTGTGATCCGTGAACAGAACTTTAAAACGGTGGTTGTGTTTAAAATTCCGTAACTTGAAAAGTACACAAGTGATTTGAATGATTCTTGTACTAAAACAAAGTTAATAAATTGGGCTTCTATATCCTAGATTTTGAAAGTGCTACATGCAAAACTTCACTAAAACAATAGTCCCGACATTTGGGTTTCGCTTTTTTGACCGACCCTGTATTGGTTTCAACAATTCAAGACAGGTTTTTTAACAAACAAAATATCACGAGTGATCATCTGTGTTACTGTTTCTGACTTATTAGCTTATTTTGCAGTAAACATTACGATTATTGGATTTGTATCAAAATGTAGCTAAAAAATCCCAAAAGGTCCATATAAATGACGTCATCATATTAAGACGATCAGATTCAAAATTACAACCCCTCCAATGAGTGTGGATTTGTCTCTTTTTTTAGCGGTGTTTACTGTATGTTACATGGAAAAGAATATCACATTGGAACAATGAAATACAAATTGTGGCTACTGGACCCATCCATAAGCCACGCCCCCATCCATAAGCCACGCCCACTCCACTGCTCACATGGGCAACAACGCATGTCAGACATTAAATATGGCTCTGATTGGTCAAAAGCAGTAATAGGGTGGGGCTAAGAGGAGGCGTTGCTCACAAGTGTATGATCAGCCGCGTGTCTTTAGCATTGAGACTAAAGGACGACTCATTAAGGCCAATGTTAGTGCATGTCATGTCGAATTGGGAGCAGCCGCAACCAGACGAGGCACACTCCTGTACTGTACAAGGAGGAAACAAAATAATAAATAAAAACTACTGTGAAAGGCTTTGATATTCAGTTTGATCACACCATCATAAGGCAATCACAGGTCAGTCGCAAGCTAAGTCACAGGTCAACTCAAGTCAACCACAAGTCAAGCACAAGTCAATCACAAGTCAGCACTCAATTCAATCATACGACAATAACAAGTCGATCGCAAGTCAGTCACAAGTCATCATAAGTCAATCGCAAGTCCGTCACAAATCAATCGTAATTCAATCACAAGTCAATTACAAGTCATTCCCAAGTTTATCACAAGTCAATCACAACTCAAAAACCAGTCAATCACAAGTCAGTTCACACGTCAGTACAATCATAAGTCCAACACAAGTCATTCACAAATCATTACACATGTAGGTTTAACGAGCAGCGTTCTTTCTTACTGCATGTGTCCCCATGTCGTGGCGCTTCGTCGTCCCAAGACTCTAGGCAATCTACGTTTTTGTCGCAAACCATTGTCCCGTTAATGCAATGCGATCGGGCACATTTGAAGGCTCCTGCTGGGCACACAAAGTCACCTGCAAAAGAAATTGCAGTCCATGGTTTATGTTTGTCTTTGCCTAAAGTAGAAAGTAAGTGTCACAAGCCAGTACAGCCTTGTACGGTTGCTATAAGGCCGATTTGGCCACTTACGTAATACATATTTGAATGAAACAAGCTCAAATAACCGTTTCATAGACGTTTTGATGATCGCCGCGGCAAAATCTTTGAACATCAATTTCTCCCGTTTTGAAGACCGTATCTTCATGCCACTTTCGGAGTTTGTTCCCAACTATGTGCTATAAATCGTTTTAAAATGTTCAGTATTTTTCATTAAAATTGGAAAAATAGGCTTGGGTGCGTCCATTTTCAAATCTGTAACAAGTGGTGTTTGCTTTTTTATGTCAGTCTTTTCAAGCCTCGCAAATATTAATAAGGATCCTATATCCATATATGGTGTCCAGTAAAAAATTTGGACCCCTCCTTCACGCGTCATTCATTAAATTAATAAATGTCAACCTTTTTGGTTGAGATTTAGTACGGTCACCAAATCCCTTGGTTCAAGGCGGTGTGGGGACAAGTCCAAAAACCGTTTATGTCCGTCGAAGATGTGCAAATATTACTTACTGCAGTTCCGGAGATGCGACAGGTCCGCACAGCCCTGAACGTGGTCATGCTGGTCCCGGTAACAGCGCCGGGACGCTGGGATGCACTGTCCGCTTCGGCATTGGAACTCGTCCTCACGACACTGCCTTCTGGCTAATAAAATTTAAAAAAAAAAAAAAAAAAAAATCAGAATAAAGAAAGAGGTTTACTTAAGAAAGAGGTTTAAGTTCGAGTCCAGCCGGGGTCATGGTGCGTGTGCCCTTGAGCAAGGAACTTTGTCACTCACTGCTTCTCTCCACCCAGGAGTAAATGGGTACCTGTGAGGGCAGAGATGGTTATTGTGATTGAATAAGCTTGCTTGCGCCTAACAGGCAGCATCGATTTGAACTCTCCCCAGGGAGCTGAGATGGTAATTGGAATGTTTAATTGGCCCAATGATCAGGGGTAATAATAATACTGTAAGCGCTGTGATTTAGTTTACTAAAAAGAGCGTTCTTAAATGCTGATTATTATTATTATTATTAAGTTAGAAAGCACGACTTGTGCATTGTATAGTTAGTTCTAGCGAGCAAACCCGCTGAGACGAACGTTATACCAACATTTTGTATGAGTTTATAAAAGTATAAAGATGGTTATTATGATTTTTGTTTTAGGGAGAGGTCCAACGCCCAACACACAGGAGGACGCTGACTGTTTTGAGGCACAGTTTTCCAGAGCATCAAAAAAATTATCTCGGTCTTTTTTTCATGGACGCCGTGCTCTCCACTGAAGTGTCATCATCATTTGACAAGAGTTATTTCTTCATTAAGATATAGTTTAAAACTATGTAGTATAACAGCCGCATTAAAAAAAAAATCACTGTCATTTGTATAGAAAGAAAATCGGAGTAGAAAGAGTAAAAGACAAATCAAGAAAATGTTGATGATGTTGTAAACGTTGAAATAATAACAGGCGAAAAACGAGCGTCACTCCTGTGCTGCGCTATCGCTAAAGTTGTACGGCAGATAGGTGATGGGATTGTGCCTTTGATGATACAAGCATGGCATTTGGCACACATGTCATGAGAAAGATATTTGGCTATAGGACCATCGCAGATTTGTCTTTTTAAAAAATATAGGTAGAATAACAAGCAATGGCAGCCATTTTGAATTATTTTTAAATTGCTTGTTATTCTACCTATATTTTTCAAAAGGACAAATCTGCGATGGCCTAGCCAAATATCTTTCTTAAGGCATGCTCAGACTGTGTGCCAAATGCCATGCTTGTATCATCAAAGGCACAATTCCCCCAAATATTTCTCCTATCTGCATGCCCCACTAAAGCAAGAAAGTTGAGTTTTGTTGTTTTTGAGTATGAGAAAAGATAAGACTATTAACTTACTGCAGTGGGCTTCGTCGGATACGTCCCTTGTACTGTTTTTGTAGTAGAAGCAGTCTAGGTGGTAGTCACAAAACAGCCTCTGAGATATGCATTGACCGGCGGCACATTTCCGTAGACCCGGTGGACACTCGAACAATTCTGCAGAAACGAAACCAAAAAAAAGCCAGGAATATTGAGGAAAAAACCCAAATGGAGATAAAATAAAGATCACATTTTGAGCGGCATTAAGCACTATGCATGCGCTGCTAAGCACAATGTAGGCATATGCTGTCAAAATCCACTACATTTTTATTTTGCGCCGGACTGCACCGCAGGCTGAATCACGGGCTGTGACAGCCCGTGATTCAGCCCGCGGTAATCCCAGTGCGATCCAGCACCGCAATTCGGCCCAAAATGTTGTGGATGGTACCCCGAAGCACACAGTTAATATTCGTTCACGCGTGCGGAAAGCTGGGAGCCCTAGCTGCCGATTTCCTTCGACTACGTATACACACGGGACAAAATCAAATTTTTAAGTTTTTATTTTGTACCCCCAAAAAACACTTAGGCATGAAAGTAATGCCTATGGCGATTTAAGTGGTTTTTTTCTAAAGAAAAAAAGCGAAAAATCCGGGTCAAATTGAGAGAAAATAACCCCAATGTTTATAGCCCTTTTCATTTTCAATGGGCCGCTTTCGCTTTTTGCCGCCAGGCTCATTGATGCGCATGCCTGCATAATTATGAATGCATTAGTAAAAAGGTATGTTCCTTTTAAGAAGTAATGTTTATTTCAAGCAGTTTAGTATACCTTTACTTCAATCTTAAATTAAAGATTGTAAAAAATGTAATTCTTGAATTGTAGCAACATGTATTAAAGCTCACGCCAATGACCTTTGACACACGTCTAAGTTTTGCACCAAAATGACGTCGTGCGTCCTCACTATAGTTCAAGAATAAGGCCACTGAGGTTTTGGATTCACTTCTCACCACAGTTGTCCTCGTCTGATCCGTCGAAGCAGTCCACGTAGCCATCACACCAGAGCTCCTCTTTCACACAATAGCCCCCTCTACGGCACTGGTGCTGTCCCGGTGGACAAGGCATCACCGCTGTATGACGGAACAAGAAATAAACACTTTGGTATCAGAGAGACTGCGCAGTGTGATCAGCGTAATTTGTTTTTTATATATGGAAAATTGCCCCAAGCAAGGCTATAAAAGTCACTCTTTGCTACATCTGCGGTTTTCTCCAAAAGTTTCAGGTCTAGAGCCTTGCCGTTTCGTATGCTGGTTGGCCTATTCATCCGCTTTGCAACGGTACCAAGTTTGTCCAGAACCATCCACGTTAAGGTAGCAAAGGGCTATAAAGAAGGAAAAATATGATGAAAAAAAAATCATAATCAGGAAAGCTGGAGGTAGGAATTGATATTGCTCTTAAAAGAAGCCAGTCATAATGGAGGGAAGCGCGCACTAGGCAAGGAGTTCCAACGAGATACAGCTCTTTGTTCTTCATCTCGGCACAGCTAGAGTGTATGGGTGAGAGGAAGCAGAGAGCCTGGTTGCACGCTCAAACACCCTGACAGGAGGAACCAAGTCAAACAAACTGGTGGAACAATGTCCATAGAAATATCTGTCGAACAGACCGAGGGTGGCTATACCGTGGGAAAGGGGTTGTAATGATGAGCCCAACTCCTCACCAACCAATTGAACGATTCGCTTCTGCACCCGATCTAATAGAGATACATGAAAGGCAGAAGCTCCGGCCCATATTTGGGAACGTATTGTCTTGTATAAGTACAGAATAGCATCAGGATGTTAAAACTTAATTCTGAGCTTGATAAAGACAACCAACTCGCAAGGAAGCACTCTTAGCGATACCTGAGATATACATCTCCCATGCCATGGTTTATAGCTAATGCAGCTTAAAATGATAGTTGTGATTGACTCGTTTGCAAATCTCCCGTATTCTTCTTCTTCTTCTTCATTCATTCATTTTCAGGACGACTTGATGAGTTGGGCCCAACTGTCCCTGTCAAGCATAGTGTTGGAAAGAGATAGACCACTCAGACCAGTTTCTAGCTCGATGGATGTTTTCAGGGTCATGTTGGGACGACCTTTTCGTCGAGGGGCTTCAGGGGTGGGGGGGGGGGGTTAAGGAAGTATTAAGGAAGGCAAACATGCAAAAATCATCTTTCATAGTATGTAGGAAACCTTGCAGTAGAGACAACTATATTTGTATATACTCACTGCAGTTCTGCTCGTCAACACCAGTCAAGCAGTCGAACCTTTTGTCGCATTTTACATATTTGGAAGGTGGGCAGCGCGGGTCTCCCGCGCCACAGCTCACCGTGCCCGGCACATTGCAGCTCGCTACACTTTCGCCGTCCGGTAACGCTAAGGGTACAACAAAAGAGAGAACTGTGTCTTTAGGGAACAACTCACCCACTGCTACCTAAAACAAGTGCCATTATTTTGAGGGTTCTAATCCAAAGTGAATACTTAATGAGCAAGGAAACTGACCGGAGTGGGGTTTGGACCTGCAACCTCCAAAACAATGCAGCATGCTCTACCAACTGAGCTATCAAAACCCTGTGTTGATGGTCTCCAAAATTAAAAATGTTTTTGTTCAAGAGTTAATTGACAATCAGTAGTCGGTTTGGACCACAGTTTTGGTACAATTGAACCTAATATTGGTGGCTAAAAATTGGTACAGCGAAGAAATGCTACACCAAATAATAATGGTTGTGTAGGCACCTATCAGATTTAGAAAACACGGTGACGGTTCGCCGAATTATTAGGGTTTTTTTTTGCAACCAAGTATAGTCAATGACATAAGCGCAAGCGTGAAACATATCACGTGAACAACTTAATCTGTGTCACCTGATTCGGAATAAGTTCTTATAGCGTTATTCCACGTCGGTAGGCGTGGTCTCGCTGTGGGTTGAGCGTTAAAACGCTGATCTGAATGCTGGAGGTTCCAAGTTCAATTCCCGAAAGGAATTTTTAATATTTCCAATTTTGTTTCCCCGGCCCTTTTAGGGTTAAATAATGTTCCAGTCTTTCTTGTGCGTACTGGTGGACAACACATACTTTGACAGTCGTCCTCATCCCACCCGAAAATAGGACAGTCCCTGCGACCGTCGCAGATGAATTGCTTCTGGAGGCACACGGGCGGTTTGCCGTCAACTGGAGGGCAAAAGATGTGCGTGTCCGTGTCGCAATCGTCTTTATTATCTTTTGGGGGAAAAAATGGATTGTATTCAAAACACAAATCTGACACTAGCAATAATGTTTCAGTTTTGACTACTGATTAAAATCTCATTGGTATAGGTTTTCCCGGCCAATTTCCTTAAATGTTCATTCGCTTCTAAAAAACGGTCATTCATTTTCGTCTGAATTTGAGAATCGCTCCGAACACGCGTTTCATTTTCGCTATCAGAGCATTCGATTCCATTTCAGTTTAATCAAGTAAGTGATTGAGCAGCACCTTTCGTTTATGTCCATTCAGATTCGTTTACAAGACTTCTTTTTCGCTTTTAGAAGGCAATTTCAACATTTACCATTCTATATCACTGTTAGTTTAATGCCATCGGCACCAGATGCAATTAGTGGTTTTTTTTTAATAAACCGTCAATCAAATTAGCTGTACCCGAAATCAATTTTAAAAGGGTTGGCTTGCGTAAATGAATGTGCAGGTAACGTAAATTGGCCGTCTGTTTCTCAAAACCGAATGCGCGGACAGTGAAAACGATTGAACTTTCGTTGAATTGAAGTGGGATTAAAGACGTGCATTCAAATTCAGACGAAAATGAATGACCGATTTTCAGTAGTGAATGAACATTTCTGGAAACTGGCCGGAAAAACCTATACTTGAATGCCAGTGTGTAATCTGTGATTCTCACCCAGCTCAATAGCTTCCAATGGCATTCTATGGACTACCATTAAAATGGGTTCTTTGAGTAAAATATGCAGAACGTCTGATAACATGGATCAATTTTGCTTCTTTTTTTATTAATACAGATCACTTTCAGTTGGGAACAATGGCTATACACTAGGCAAGGCTGAGGTCAGCTAAACATAGCTCACATAAAAAAACTTATGGTAAAGCTCAACTGTCGGGCTCTTTACTAAATTCATTCTGTTTTAAGTCGTGATGAATTTCCTTATGCGAAAACAAAACTCCTTTTTTTCTGTTTTGTGCGTCTGCTACCCTTTAGAAAAAGATTCTAATTTTGAGCTGGTTTTGCAAGTAGACTGGCATCTGGTCCCTCCATTGTTACATCCGATTGACGGCGGGAACCAGTCCACCCTGCAAGAACTGAATTCTTTGTCAGGCAGCAAACAGAAAATCGAATTTTGAAGAATATTTAATATATTTTTATTCTTCCTATTTTTGGGGGGTTCATTTCATTCGGATAAAAACGTCACACCCAGTAGGCTGAATTAAGTTTTAGTCACAATAAGAGATATAAAAATATAGCATTTATCAAATAATGAGAACAGCTAAATGTTGAGAAGAATAACTAAATATTGAGAATAACTCATTAATATTCAGAATAAATTAATTTTACAACTTGTTTTTCGTTCCATGGAAACATTCGTTGCATAGGCCCAGTTAGAGAAAATACAATTTTAAACCGCACAGACAGTACATCTGCAACATTTTTTTTTTACCGCATCCTTCTTCGTCCTCGCAGTTGGAACAGTCGCACAACCGATCGCACTGCTTGGCCGGCGGCAGGCACTTGCCGTTCCCGCATCGGAACTCGTCGTCGGAGCAATCGCAGTTGATCTCGACTGCCTTGTTGAGCTGGCACTTTGCATCGCCGTTGCAGAACTGCTGGGCGCGGACTCGGGTGCCGTCGCCGCAATCGGCAAAGTTGCCTGAAATTATATGGTTTTTCCTTCAACACATTTAATATGGTATCCGTCCCTCGCATAAAAAAAATTGACAAAAACCAAGATTACCACAGACAGATTCTCAAGATTTCCCACGAAAGTCAGGATTATGTATAAGTCTAGCCAAAGACCTAACCTTGTTCTCAGGGACTACGTTCTTTTCAATAGCAGGTAGTGGGAGTGTACTGCTCCACACCATGGGAACAAGGTTGCCAAAGACTCACAAGTAACGCTCACAAAGTGATGCAATGTAATATTTTGCGCATGCGCAATCCATATCTTTGTGCGTGCCCAATACGCACACAATCCCAATTTTTGGCTAGAATTTCCCAAGGTCTTCTCCCAAACTTCCCAAGATCTTGGTAGAAAACCCAAGGATTGACTGCGCCGGTCTAATGGTAAGTTTGTCTGCTGCCACCAAGAGTGGAATTAAGGGTGTAAGACTAGAGCAATTTTAGGATTTGCGAAATTGGCCTTACTTCCGTCTATCGTTTCTGGCGCGGGTCCAACATCATGATTTTAGTTCCTGACTTGACTGATGGCGCTGGTACAATGTTCCACTTTTCTGCTATGGAGACTCAATGGCCCACAAAATGCTCTTATGCCAAAGAATTGGAGGTCATGCAAATCGTGATATGGCCGGTGTAGGCAGTTTTGTGCCTTTTTACTGGTATGCTGCCCTAATGAATTACCAGGGGAACAAGTAGACTCCATCTCGTCCGTGCCGTCCGTGCAGTCCTGTATGCCGTCACACAGGAAAAACGAATTGATGCACTGCTGGTTGATACATTGGAACTGGCCGTACCAACAATCGAGCCTCTCTGAAATCAAAAAGAATGTTTACCAAAAATAACAGGGGATTTTCGAGTACAGAAGGTCTAGTCCAGACAAGCTGGGCGTGGTTTTGCCTCAGTATTACAGCTAGTTCAAAGTTTTGAGACCAGGGATCATTTGCAGTACTCTGAAAAGAAGCTACCAATTTAATGACAGAACAATCCCTACCTGTCACACTGGGGTCATCGGGAGGTTAATATGAGGTCATCATGAGGTCATAACACATATTAACACTGATTAAGATGTCTTTATGAGGTTAAGGTCATGAAGTAGTGAAATGGCTAGGTCTTCTTTGATGTCATATATAAGGTTATCACAAGGTTGATTATGAGGTCATAATATGTCATAATGGGCTCCTCGGGAGGTCACTATGTTATCATCATGAGGTTATTATGAGGTTATTTTGATGTAAATGACGAGGTTTTTATGATGTTATCAGTCGTGATGAGGTCAAGAGATTGCTAGGTCCTTTTGGAGTCACATCATGAGGTTGATTATCTGAAGTCATTACGAGGTTATCAGGGGGTCATCATAAGGTCACTTTGTGGTCATTATTAGGTTTTTAAGAGGTTGTTTGAGATTAACTATGAGGTTTATGAGGTTGTTACTGTCTTGATGAGGTTAAGCAATTACCACGTCTTTAATTAGAAGTTACGTATGAAGATATTATGAGGTTATGCGATCTTTATAGGGTTATTACAAGATCATTATCATATTATCATGAGGTCATAATGAGGTTATTATGAGGTTATACTACCTACCGCAAAGAGCTTCATCAGACATATCCCCACAATCATCAACGAAGTCGCACCAGGCATAAGTGGGCATGCAGAAGTGGTTTTCGCACTTCTGAAACCCAGGAAGACACTGGAAGCTATCTGTACAGATGGAAAAGAGACAAAGCTTTTCTCAAAGGCCTTCAAGAATAATGTTGTCTTGCTCAATATCTTTGCAAAATTCTGAGACGTCAAGCCCGACTTGTACTCAAGTACATCACGAGTCCTTCACCAATTGTAGGCCATTTCAGAAGTCCAGCCACAAATTACAGGAATGCACGCTAAGAAATGGGATACTATTGTGACATACAGTTCGTTTTAATAGTTTGTGAGGACATGTGAGGACTTGTGATGGAATTGTGAGGACTAGAGATGGACTTTTGGTTGACTTGTGAGGACGTGTAAGGACTTGTGAGGACGTGTAAGGACTTCTGATGGACTCGTGGTGGAATTGCGAGGACTTGCGAGGACTTAAGATGGAATTGTGGGTGACTTGTGAGGACTTGTGATAGAATTATGACGACTAGAGATAGACTTTTGGTTAACATGTGAGGACGTGTAAGGACTTGTGAGGTAAGGTTGAGTCCTGAATATTGTACCATCCGAGTATGAGGTCCTTATCTGTATTTTAAAGTAGGTGCATACGAATAGTCTTGCAAGTATCCAATAGATGGACCATTTACGTCCTACAGCACCATTGTTCGATGGTTACGTTGTCCATCTCGTGTGTGATGGCAACGTGGGCCCACGGTGGGCGTGAACCCTGATGGGTAATATGGTGTTTGTGTTCTTGGGCAAGACACAATACCATTATTGCCTCTCTCAGCCCGGGACTAGGTAGCCGTTCGAGACCGATTGCGCTGATCTCGAACTGCCTGATAACACTTGGATAATCATGGGTTACGATTGTGAAGCGCTTTGAGACTTTAGCATAAAGGGCTTTATAATCACCACGTTTTGTCAATATTCTCAGTAACAAAAAAATGTGTCAAATGCAGGTAAATGTGTAAATTGCTTACCACAATGATCTTCATCTGCACAGTCGTCCTGGCAGTCGCAATGCCGGTCGCACCTCTTCTCTAGCGGTATGCAGGAATTCAGGCACCTAAACTCGCCCGAGGGGCACCCTATTTGTAAAGAGAACAAAAAAAAGCTTGAAAAGTATTATCTCAGATCTCCCAAGCAATACGAATCCTTTGCAAGCTTCTGACAAGAGAGCCTGCTTAGCAAATTTAAGCAAAAATCAGCTGATCACCAGTCGCGAGCAATATACATTGTACAGCTTTTTTTAGCTGGTAACAGTTTCTTGCTAAGCAATATTTTTCTATGCTTAGCAGTTTTCCTGTGGTAAGCGGTTCCATAATATTTGCCCTGCTTCTCAGCTGATTCTGGCTAAGCAAGAACATTGGCTCATCATCCTGCCTACTCAACCAAACTTAAAGTGGCAAACAGAAAAAAATATTGAACTATCAGCTAAAAGCTTTCAACAAGCAATATACAATGAGAGATTTATCAGACGCTTTAATTGGTGGCAACAAACACACCGGGCCACTTATTTGATTACGTCATGTTTAATCTAATGTGCGCATGCTTAAAATGACGTAAACAATAGAAAAGGACTGGTGTGTTTGCTGCCACCAAGCGCCTCAAAAGTCTTCCGTTCACTTTTTTGGTAACTTTTTTTGTTAGCAAACATTTTCTTCTCACCGCATAGCATGACGGTCTCGTCTGCCATGGACTCGCAGTCGTACGCCGAGTTGCACGCCAGCGACGCATCGATGCAGACGCCGGGCTCGCACTCGAAGTCAGCCTCGTTCTCGCAGGACGTCGTCTCGTCTTTGTTGCGCAGCCTCGCGTCCGATGCCAGGAAGAGGGCTGCGGGAAGGAGGTTGATGAATCATTATTAGAATAAGTTGTAATGCTTATATAGCGCTTTCCATTGTAGCAATAATCTCAAAGCACTTTACATTTATTCCTCTGTTCATCAGGCCACGAGACCACACGGCAGCCGATATCAGTGCACATTCGGTCCTCTACCCTCACAGGTACCCATTCATAACAAGCAATTTTCAAAATTTTCAAAATGGCTGGCATTGCTTGTTATTCTACATATATTTTTTTTATCAAAGGACAAATCCGCGATGGCCCTATAGCCAAATATCTTTCTCCTGACATACTCTAAGACTAGTCAAAAGCCATACAACACTTTATGCCATCTAGCCAGGGATCACACCCAACGTCATGATGCCAGCACATTATTAATCAATACTGCAAACCTGGGAAATAGCAAACGGGGATCACTCGGAGAGGATACGGTCGTTTAAATATACATTACCAAATAAACCACAAGAATTATTAGATCTCCACCAGAATTACATTAAACAAAAACCAGATTAGTTCGCTTAGCTAAAAGTAAATATAAAATGTCCATAATTGCAATTGTATACAGGGTGAGTAAAAAAAAACCCGAAACCCAAATGTCGGGACCATTGTTTTAGTGAAGTTCTGCATGTAAAATCTAGGATACGAAAGCCCAATTCATAAGCTTTCTTTTAGTTTAAGAATCATTCAAATCACTAATGTACTTTTCATGTTACGGAATTTTAAAGACAACTACCGTTTTAAAGTTCCGTCCACGGATCACAGAAAGGTAAGTGTTCTTTCAGCAAAACGAAAACAAATCACATGGGATTGTGCAAAAATTGTTTTCGTTTTGCTGAAAGAACGCACACTTCTTTTGTGATCTGTGGACAGAACTTTAAAAGGGTGGTTGTGTTTAAAATTCCGTAACTTGAAAAGTACATGAGCGATTTAAACGATGCTTGTACTAAAAGAAAGCTTATGAATTGGGCTTTCATGTCGTAGATTTTGAAAGTGCTACATGCAAAACGTCACTTAAACAATGGTCCCGACATTTGTTTTTTTTTTTTTTTTAATCACCCTGTATTTATAAACCAAACGACACTAACTGGACGACTAACCTATATTTTTACAGACAAAATAGGACATCTTCATTTTTGTTGCAAGCTAAACATGATCATCCGATCTCCTTCAAAATACAATTTGTAAACCTGTCCACTGTTACCAGATAAGCATGAGGTAGGATTACAAAAAACACACAAAACTGTTCGCGATTAGGTCTTTTTTTTCACGCGTTATATGATATTCTTTCCTTGACTATTTCCCAAGGCTAAACCTGCTGCTCGTTTTTATTGGGCTGTCGAGAATCATTTGTTATTGCGCATCTCAACCTCGTTTATGGGAGGCGAACTGTCTGCCTAGAAACGCTAAAGGGAAATAGTCGGTCAAACAATTTCATCAAAAAGGCGCCAAAAAGTGGGGCAGATGATTTTTTGCAGATTGTATATCGGATGTGCCGCAAATTTTATTTTGAAAATTCGCTTTCGTTTTCATTATTATTTTTACTGTCATATTATGTGTTTTGAATATGTGGAACAAGTCAACCTTTTTTGTTTTTGAAATACTGATGGCGATTTTTGTCTGTTTTCCTTTGCAAATTTTCGTTCATTCATGGAGGTGGGAAACGTCCATGTTTCATTGTATTTAACGGATATTCATCAGTTCGTAGAACGGTAAACGATCAGTGGACAACTGAATTTATGATTTTTTTTTTATTAAAATAAACACTGAGCTTGGGAATAGGTAACATTTACACAGTTACTAGTCAGTTACACGTACTTTATGCCTATGTCATTTTTATGAAATGGTGCAAGCTACATATTGTTTTATTTTTTCTATAATCTGGTTACTATAATCTTGACTCACACTGTACAGGGTGAGTAAAAAAACCCGAAACCCAAATGTCGGGGCCATTGTTTTAGTGAGGTTCTGCATATAGCACTTTCAAAATCTAAGATATGAAAGCTCAATTCATAAGCTTTCTTTTAGTATGAGAATCATTCAAATCACTTATGTACTTTTCAAGTTACAAAGTTTTTAACACAACCGCCATTTTAAAGTTCTGTCCACGGATCACAAAAAGTTCAGTGTTCTTTCAGCAAAAAGAAAGCAAATCACATAAGGATGTGTGTGAATTGTGTTCGTTTTGCTGCAAGAACGCACACCTTTTTTGTGATCCGTGGACAGAACTTCAAAACGCTGGTTGTGTTTAAAACTCCGTAGCTTGAGTGATGAGTGATTTGAATGATTCTTGTACTAAAAGAAAGCTTATGAATTGGGCTTTCAGATCCTAGATTTTGAAAGTGCTACATGCGGAACTTCACTAAAACAATGGTCCCGACATTTGGGTTTCGTTTTTTTTTTTTACTCACCCTGTACTACTGATCTGCTTTTGCAGATAAATAAAATTCTTCCAAATGCTGCTTTAAGGAGACAATTTGTAACAAATCATTTGACGTTAGGGAGAGACTTAACATGAGAAGGACATTTAAATCGTCTAACTTAATGTTTTAAGTACCATTTCTAGAAGGAATTAAACTGTCGAAAGTTGCTGAAAACAATTCTACTAAAAACAAAACTTGAGAAAAATGTTTTAGAAACGGGATACTTCGAGGATTGTTGTTTTCACACAAGTCTATTGAATGTCTCCCTATAATAAGGTACCATTTTCGGTAATAATAAGTATGGTTAAACAATTAATTATTAATGCATCCACAATTGATGCTCCACAGAATAACAGATGACTCACTCTATTACTACAGGTCACCATTTTGACACCGTTTTTTCTTCTTCTTTTTTTGGCGAAGCATCGATGTAACAAGCTCGCTTCAAATCCTCCGGCGGCACTGAAAATCTCGCCATTTCTCGTTACAGTTTCGATTATTATCCGGACACAAAAGGGAGAAGAAATCCAGACCAAGTTTTGCCCGGGGCTTCGTCCGATAAACACCCGCTTTTCCCCCTGCTGATCCGAAGCTGCGGGCTCCGCTGATCTAATCATCTTCCCTTTGTCCGAGGCAGCACGCTCCAGAAAGTCTCACCGGGGGGAAACGGGTCCACCTCGTGGGCGTTTTGCTCACTTTGGACGGTATAGGACGCAAGACAAATCACGCTGCTCGCACCTTCCCCCGGGACAACGATGCCTTCTTCCCGGGAAGAGACAGCACGGTAACTCGGCACGAACTTGACAGGAAATGCCTCAGATCATGACATACGAGAGGCTTCAAAGTGTTTTTTTCATACCTCGAATTTGACTGCTAGGGTAACGAATTGACACAATTCTATCCCCCAAAAGTCAACTTTTCTTCTGGGCAAATTCAATTATTATAATCATCTTTAGTTGATATCCTTCATCTTTCAAAATAACTAAGCCCCAATTTGTGTGCTACTGGGTAATACTGTACGACTGCACTGCCCGGTTCTCTTCACCACTCTACAACTATAGTCACAAAAGTCAGTCAGTCAGTCGTTCAGTCAGTGAATCGGATATTTTAAAAGGCGACATTAGGCTGACCCTCTGCATGTAACCAGCAAAAACAAACAAGAATTGAAAAGTGTGTGATGTGCTTGAAATACATGAAACAGTCGTTCAGTCAGTGAATCGGATAGGTACAAAGACGACACTAGGTTAACCCTCTGCAACCACCAAAAACGAACCAGATTTGAAATGTGTGTGATGTGCTTGAAATACATGAAACAGTCGTGTACGTGTATCTTGAACAAAATTACATCACGGCGTTTGTGGGTTAACTCTAATACCCGGATGTCCGTAGTGACTTCAATTTTTTTCCAATTATGGTATTTCATCCAGGGATTTCGGAATGAAATTACTATTATCGGATTATGAATTAAACCGTGACTAGTGAAATACGAACAGATTTTTGATGGTTTTCCAATGTGAGGCGTGCATTCACCACTCTTCCCCACTGCACTGCAGACTTCAACGGCCGTTTTCAAAAAAAAAAAATCCCAAACGACATCCGCATATGGCTGGGTGTAAGCTATGGCGTTTTGGACTTTACTTCTCTAAAAACATGAGAAGAAAATATAAAAGGAGAAAAAAAGCAATGAATTCAAACGTAATGAAATTCGGACTTATTTCCCTTTTAAAAAATCCTCCGAAGCCTCAAGAGTATAATTAATATGCTCCATGAAGATGAAATACTCATGTGAAGTAGTTTTTGAGAAATTAAAGGATATCTGCTTGCACAACATTTTTGGGGCACCCTGTAGATATCAAGGAACAACTACTATACGTGTAGTAATTTGATAGGTTCATATCAATGCACTATCATTCGGAACATGATGTACAACCTTGCTGAGGAGACCTTACTTGAGCCAAACGCAACTTTCTCAGATAGCAACAGACAATCTGTCTTTCGTCAAACGCTGCAATTTTAACGCTAAACGATCTCCCAAAAGTCTAATTCCGCCCGAACACAAACCTTCGAATTTGAAATGTAGCACGTTCACTCAGTCCATTATTCCGCGCATTGCCCAGGGGAGCCACGTTTATATCCAACCGGGAGATGGTTTTGCCACTCGCCATCACGGTAATTTGGTGAAACATTTCGTATTAGGAGGTCACCCCCTCTCGTGGGTGCAGGGGTGTCTGTTTTTTGAGAACGGGATGGGTCGTTAGTGAAAATTGTTCGGTTTTTATTGCAGAGATTATCTGTGTTTTTGAATTGCCCACCGAGGACTTTTTATCAATGCTGATCAAACATTAATTTGCAAGTGTCACGACTCGCGCCGTCTGTCAGAAAGAGAGCCATTAATTTTAACCTATGAGATTTCGTTTGATGCATGTTAGACAAAATCGAACGCTTAATCTCAGCTGCCATTCAGCTACAACTTCCGTTCTTAAAGTTACAGACCAGTAACTGCCATAGACTCCAATGATAAATGCCCCCACTTCAGAAATTCGGGAAAAATACTCAGAACTCTCCAAAGTG